GCACTAATAGCATATATTAAATAAAACAAAAATATCAAGATTAAGGACAGAAGCTCCTTAACCTGATTATGATTAACATTAAAAATCCTTAGCAAAAATAATATTTAATAAAATTTTAGGAGCATTTTCCTTAAGTTATCTGCGATCACTGTTTGTATTTAGCATTGCACTAAATTCTTGGTCAGCAAAGTTTTAAGAGAAAAAAAGAGACAAAGATTAGAAGGGGAAAACTATTCACTGACAATAAGGCCAACTACATGCAAAATCTAAGTGCCTCTACCAGCTGCTAGCAATGATAGGAAAATCCAAGCAGCTTGCGGGATCCAAGATTACAAATTAAAAACCAGAAGCACTTCTATGTGATCAGCCATGTGTTTAGCTCTAGCAACAAACAGTGAATCCATACCTTCAGAACAATGTCAACATCCCACAGGGATTCTGGGTGAAACTTTGACAAGCGGTTGCTAAGTGTCAGCCAGGGGAGCAAAGAGGAAAAAATAGTATGCATGTATCCTGACAGGGGTAACAAATCAGCCTGGAACTTCTCCTAGTAGGTTCAAGTTCAGCATAAATATATTGGTCAAAATCAATATGGTTTTGAAGAAGAGACCAAAACAAAACAAAACAAAAACAAAAAGTGGAGGCAGACCAATGAAATAGAACAGAAAACAGATAAATTGACCCACATATGAATGGATGGTTGGTATTTGTGTTTGCTGATGTGACATAACAAAACTGAGGGAGAGAATGAATTATCTGATACAGTGTCTGGACAATTTGCTATCTATAGGGGAAAGAGATAAAATTATAAGCAGAAAGTAATTCCGGGATACCGAGGAAGGCAGACTAGGATTTGTGCTGGGCACGGTGTGTACCACCGTGAGGCTGAGGCAGAAAGATGAGTTAAGGGCAGCCTGGAGTACATAGTGCGTTCAAGGCCAACCTGAACTACGAATGAGAACTTGTCTCAAAAACAAAAGCAAAACAAAAACTGTAAAACTTCTTAAAAAGTTATAGGAGAACATGTTATAATCCCAGCAAAAGTAGAATCTCTTTGACGAAGTGTAAAAGACAAAATAATCAAAGAAAGATGGATAAATTTGAGCTTATGGTGAAAAATTTAAAAATGAAGTGCTAATAACTCATTGAAATGATAAATCAAGGACTGGGATAAAATATTTGCTATATATTCCTAATGGTTGATACATGGTGTCAACTTGAAGTTTAACTAAGTGACTTGGCAGGGGGCCAGGGGGCTCTCTTTGTAAACATCCTGAGCCTGTGCAAGAGGAAGGCACTGAGATGCTGTGAATGCAAGGCCAGCCCTGAGGGTGGGCGATGGTAGCCTGCTTACAGTACAAGGGAGAAGAGTTCTGTTTTCCCCACTTTTTGCTCTTGCTGCTTTTACTGTCTTCTACCACCTTGAACTGTTGCCCTTGTGCCACGCTACCCTGGCTTGGAACCAACTGATGATGGCCTGAAACCTCCACAAACTATAAGCTAAATAAACCTTTCTTTTCTTGATTTGGGGTATCAGGTATTTTGTCTTAGCAACAAGAGAAAAGTAACCAAGACAATATTTAAATGAAAATATATGTATAAATAAATAATGGTTATTACATATAAATTTATAATTTATGATTTCCAGTTAAATAGCCATGAAAAGCAATAGATAAATAGGCAGAAAGTGGTACATGCAATTTACATTGAGGGAAATATAAATGGCCAATTAAGATGTGAAATAGCTCACAAACTCACTAGTCCAAACAGGACCTCACTTCCCACTCATTAATATTTAAGCACAATAACTTTTACCAGAGATGTAGAGACATAGGCACTTTGGTTTACATTTATTGCACACCTCAGTTAGAGATCAGTGTGACCGTTCCTAACAGGCTTAAAACATACTTTCCCTGGGAACCACCTAGGAATTCAAACTCCGTTGTCACAATGGTATACATACAAGGGTATACACTGCAACTCTGTACAATGAACATATGGTGACGAACTCAGTCTGTGCAGAGAGGGTGACAAAATAAACAGCTGATCTATACACAGTGATTGAATGCTGTATAGCAGCTATTAGCATAAATAAATCACATCTGTGTGTATCCACACAGACGAAAATCCAGAGGCATAATATTGAGTGATAAAAGTTCCAACAGACAGTAAAATGTAAATGTAAAACTATTATATTTGGGAGACCACAAAATAATAATATTTATTTTTATGGGGACTCTACACACACACACTCACCCACCCCACAGACTTATAAAGTATAAATACAAAACTGCACAGGAAGGATAAACATAAACCTGCTGGGATAGAAGAAAGGGTGAGGAATGTGTGTATGACTTTCGTATTTCTTTTTCTTTCCCAAGGGAGGAATCTGAGCATCAACAAACCAATGTTTATTAATATTTGCTTCATCTCAGGGAAAGATAAATTGGCGCTTGTTACATTACATTTTGTCAGTTTGAAATGCTTCCCAGGACAACTGAACTCTTTCAATTTAAAAATGAAATAAAGGGAGAAGCTTCCTTTTGAAATGTAGCAGTTTTCCAGCTTATGAGATTTGCTTCTCACAGTTCTGCCCTGTCTAGAAATGAAGGCAAAGAGAGGAACACAAGCCATGGTGCCCTAACTGGTGACCTTCACCTTACCCAGAGATCAAAGCAGGGGCTTTTTCTCATTAAGAAGCAGCTAGAGACAGGAGGTTGGCCACACAGCCAGTCCTGGGGATGGTGCCGAGGCCAGCAGCAGAGCCACTTCCTCTGAGTGCTCCAGAACAAACTGTGGGTGGACAGTTCCACCCTGTCCAAGCTCGGCATGCAGGGTCAGCACTATTGCTATCTTCCTGTTTTAAGGACTGCTAGGTAACCCTGGAGAAACTTAGAGCAAAGCGCATCTTTAGCTCATGTAGCACAAAGGTGAGCCACGGGAAGCCCAGAGGTCGAATTTAGCTCTCATTTATACAGTTAGGCTCTGTACTATGTTTTTGGTAAAGTTATGATTCAGATGCTACTATTTAGAAATTGAGCTACTCTAGTAAACACTGGGCCCCTAGCTTTTCTTCTGAAAGGATCTTGATGCAGTCAGGCCTGAGCTCCAGGATGCCAAAAGCTGGTTGGCAATGCAGATTGTCCCCTCCCTCCCTCCTCTCTCATGCCCTCACCTGTTGGCCTCAGCAGAAGTCTTACTCACCCACTTCACAGATGGCAAGACTGAAGCCCAGAGCGGTAAGGGCCTTGCTCAAAGTTACAGTTAGTTGGTAAGGAGCAGAGCTATGTTGGCACAGGCCAGCCAATTAGCAGTTAACTTGTGACTCCTTTTCTCTACCAGGTGAAAGCTCATTTTGTGATTTTTGTTTGTGTGTTTTTAAAAAATTAGTATATGTTTGCAATACAAAATAATTACACTCGTTTGGGGAACTGGTACATAAAATATTGCATCTTGGTCATTTTTACTCCCCAACCCCTTCTCTGCTCCCGACCCCTCCCTCTCTTCAGGATTTTAATGCCCTACTTTCCCGCTCCTCCAGCAGGTACAACGGAAATGATCATCTTTAACACTTTTAGTGCAGACTTAGTTCAAACGGTGATCAGCAACAATTTAGATGGATTCATTAATTACAATAATTCACATTAACCATAACAGGTATGTTAATTCCAATAATGAAGTATAACACTGGTTAAAGCAAGATTTAGCCCAACTCAAAACAGAAAAATCTGCATGTGAATTATAAGGGAATATAGCTGAAAATGATGAAACTACAGGTTGTATGGTCTGTGGCTGTACCACTGTTCCAGCTTGTTTCCCAACCTCCTCAATCTTGTTCTTTTTCTGCTGAGTCCAGAATGATGTGCAGACCCCACCCGGGACCCTTTCTCACAGTGTCCCACAATCTGTATTTTCTGCAGGCTTTTTGCCTTTTGGGTTTATCTGCTCCCAGTTAAAGAAGATTCACACTGACTTAAACTAGCTACATCTGTATTTACTGACTCAGATCGGGCATTGCTCTTCCATGAAAAGGGCATTTTTGTCAGAATCAAGGGCATAAACAGATTAAAGGGATTACGAAAATTCTTTAGGATGTGAAGCACTAAATAACCTAGAATATAAATCATATGAGGATGGGAAAGGTTCAGTTAACTTTGGCATTTTGTGAAAAAACCTATGCAAAGAAAAAGGTTGCTCTTAAACACTGACATGCAGTATAATAAATTTCATTTCTTATACTGTGTTATCACCCTAATTAACTTGGGAGCGTGAAAATAGCACAAAGTCCCAGAAAAGCTAAATTTCACTTTCACAAATCAAAATCAAGTCAGCAACTCTAGGAGGCATATTACAGTTGTAAGGATGCTCTCTGTTTAACGGTAAAGAATATGAAATAGGAAGCGGTTTTAAATAAACTCAAGATTCCAAGTAGAAAGAAAACCAAAGGGAGATTGCCTAATTTACCCTCACAGGACCTCAGCTCCTCCAGGGTTAACTTTCCCAGCAGTGTCCAAGCACAGTTCTGGCACGGAGGAAACTGAGTCCCGGAGAAGTCAACGTGAGGGCGAGGTTCTAAGCAGGAAGGTGGCAAGGCTGGGACACCTTGCGGGTTTCTCCGCAGCACCCTGAGCCTCCAACCAGGTTAAGCTCCAGCACCCAGGTACGCTACCCCGCCTTGCCTGGCGTTTTCCGGTATCCCCCTGGCGACCTGGTGTCTAACGCTCGGCTACCTACCGGTGGCTGTCTGTCTGTCTTCTAATGCTCAGGTCTTCCCCTTCCACCCCTGACTCCTGGAGCCTGGCCCTAGCGCCCCCCTCGGACTCTTCCTCCAGCGCCGCGCCTTCCACCTGTTCCCAGGCGACCCGCCCGCGACACCGGACCGGACCGGACCCGCGCGGAGCCGCCCGGAGCTGGGCCGGGCTCGCGGACAGTGCCCCCAGCAGGCAGGACGGGGCGGGCCCCCCAGCGCCGCGGCCGGGGTCGCGGAGCCCCGCACTCACCTTGCAGTCCGCGGGCGCGGCCGCCAGGAGCGCTAGGAGGAGCCAGAGCAGGCACGCAGGCGGCCGGGGCGCACCGCCGGGGCGCATGGTGGGCGCCGTCCGGGGCCAGGGCGCGCGGGAACCGCGGGCTCCCGGCCACCGCGTCCCCAGCCGTGAACCCCGCCTCCGGTCCCCGGGGAGGGTTTTGTAGGCTCGGCGGCGGCGCAGCCGGTCCCTCCCCGCCCGGGCCGTGGCCCTGGTTCCCGGGGAGGGAAGAAGCGGCTCAGGTCCCGCCCTTGGCCCCCGCCCTCGCGAGCCGCGGGGCGCTGTCCCCTGGCCGGGCGTCGTGCCCAGGGCGCCCGCGGGGCCGGCAGGTGGGCGCGCGTCCAGGGTAAGCGCTAGCAGGTGATGCCCCCGAGGCCCCGGGGTTCGGGCAGGCGGGGGTGCGCGTCGGGCTGAGGAAGTCCAGGGTGCGCGGAGGGGAGGCGGCGGTGTCGGGCGGAGGGAGTGGCCAGCGGCCCTGCCCGGATTAAGCCGGAGGCGCGCCGGCGTCTGCACTCGAGGGCCGCTCGCTCCCGGCCCCCGCGCCCATGCCTCGGGCCGCCTGCGCCGCCTCCCAGCTGCCGACGCTGGACCGACGTGGCCGCCGGAGCGCGGTGGCGAAGGGGTCGACTCGCGTGTGGATCCGGGCGCGGCGGAGCCCGGGGGTGCGCGGCACCGGTGCTGCGGAGTCCCCCAGGTAAGGAGCACCGTCAGACGGGCTCTGTGGCGGGGCCCGGGCGCCTGCATGGAGCGGGCAGTGCAGGAACCTTAGCATCCGGGGGCCCGGGGTGGCGGGAGTTTCGGCCCGGGGGTCACCGGAGGAGAGAGCTCGTCTGGCTTCCCAGGCTTGGCTGCCAGGGCTTGAACTGGGAGCTGTGTGTTTTGATTAATTTGGAGGCTCGAGTTACCTGCCTGGCAGTCGGGGCATTCCCAAATGCCAGGAGAAAGAGGCAGCTGAGGGGAAAGAGAAAGTCCATCCTATTCTAGCCTCCGCTGAGCTGAACTGGCTTTTCAGGCTGCAAAAATCTTATCTGCGGAAATGCGGGGAAAACAAGACCAACTCCTGTCCAGGCTGTCGCCCTCCTGGGAGGGGAGCGCTCCCCACCGTCCCGCCCGCCCTAGGGTGGAAATAGGCCGCCACAGGCTTGTTCGGGCCCGACTTTGAGCAAAGAGTAAAGAATTTAGACCCCTCTTGAGAATAGTGTTACATGCCTAAAATACAACTAAATCAGAATCACTTCTTTTGGAATACAATAATCTCAGTGCGACACTGAAGTTATGAACAGTGACAGCCGTGCATTGTTATTATCATTATTATTTTTACATTAATAGCTCTAACAGCAGGTCGGTTATACAACTGTAATAGCAATGTGGTGACGACTGCACATGTTTCAGGTAGCTGGCAAACTGAAATGTGCCATGAGCATACCAGTGCGTGCAGATGCTAAAAAAACAGCCAATGAGACTGCGGTCTGTCGCATACACTCATCCTGCTGAAAATGTCAATTTTTTTTTCTTTTCCACCCAAGTTCACTCACCACCTGAACCCCATCCCCGGGTTGCGATCCTTTGCTTCAGAGAGTGTAGCCGCCCTCAGCTGTGCTCGGTTCTGCAGCACTGACTGGGACTCACTGCGATTCGAATCAGGTCTGATAGTGTCTCCTGTCTGTGTAGCCCTGTGAGAAGGCAAAACCCCTACAGTGAGCAAAGATGACCTTCCACATTTTCATTTATTGGTTCTAAAATGAAAGAGAGTTTGCTCTGTGTCTTTTGTGCCAGCGGTTCTCACCTGTGGCTGTGTGCTAGAATTCCTGAAGGGCGGCTAAAAATCCAGCCACATGGCCCATCCCACGCCAATTTATATCAGACTCTCCAGAGGTCCCTGAAAATACTTGGGTGCAGGCAAGTGTGGGAGTGACTGGTTTGCATACACGTTTTGGTTAACCAGTTTTGAGTTAGGGCGGCTTCTTAGTAGAGTAATAAAAAGGACATATTAACCTCTTCATTAAGATTTAAGAACACTGGAATTTGTGCCGGGACGGAAGAGACTGCAGTGTGCTACATAGCAGCTTCTCCCCATCGATGAGGAAATTCAGGCAAAACAAGGACAACATTATTTCCCAAAAAACAAAACAGAAAAATAACTTGGTTTTAATCTCCAGTGTGCCTTCTCTCCTCTGAACTGCAGAAATTTTCTCAATTTGAATTTCAATTGCCTTTTCTTGAAGCTGTGTCATTGTAATGGAAGGTCAGGCTTGATTTTATCAATTTTGGAATGGAAGGCGTGGAAGTGAACTGCGCGCGGTCGCTACTGATACAGCAACAGCCTGGGACAGACTGTAATACAAGGAAAGGGTAAACAGTAGTTAAGAGCTTGGTGCCTGCGATGGACCCTGAATTCTGAATTCACTCCATACTTACTGTGGGATGGAATCTTCCCTTCTGTCGTGTTAGGACAATCACAGTAACCATCTCAGGGAGTTGCAGAAATATAATGCTCCACCGGAAGCCTTCTGCCTGATGTCTCCACTTAACTGGATACTGTGATCTGATTCTCCAGTTGCTAAAGGGAAAATAGGATTAGCAAGAAATCGAACACAAGGTATTGATGTCTCTGAGTTCAGTACTAAAGGGGCAAGACTAGAAAACAGCCTTAGCTCCTTGAGGTTAATGCACATGGAGGCATCCAGAACCTCACCTTTGCATCCCTGGAGCTGGCAGCTTTGGCATCCCAGGGAGCCTGTAAGAAAAGCAGGGTCTTGGGCCCCACTCAGACTCACTGGATTGCTGTACCTTCTCTAGAAGCTCCAGGTGACTCACATGAGCATGAAACTTGGACCATCGAGCGGCTTGTCTAAAAGTCAGACTGAACCAGACTCTCCCGCCCTGCCTCCATACAGACATCCAGTGTTACTAGAGTGGTTTTTCTGCTCACCTCTGGGATTAGCTAGATTCTTGGTTTAAAAAATAATCTTGGTCAAGAAAACTGAGTTTTCTCAGTTGGGTCCTTGAATGTGAATAAGCAAAGGAAAAGTGGCGTGGTTGAGGGGGTATGGACACAGAAGTGTCTACTTTTGACTTTGACACCAGGTGGGGGTTTTGAACAAAATTAAATGGTCACTGCCTTTGATACACCCTAATGAATTATGTCTAGCCCCTTTTAAAATCATACTATTTTGTTTTCTGCATAATGCCTACATATGTATAGCTGCTTCTGCATTTCAGCATTAGCCCCATTAGGGTAGGGAGTGTGTTGTGTATGTGTGTGAGTGTGTTAATAATTGTTGAATTAGGGTAGGAATGGAGCACCCACCATTCACACTCAGGACTGTTTTCTTCTAAAGTCGTGATCTCCTAAAGCCTTCATTGTGTAGAACTGGGCCTTTGCTTTTGCTGAGAAACACACCTCGCTGGCTGTTCATACCTTCTTTTTAAATATTTTTAAGCTTTAGCTCTTCTCTTAGTCATCTGTTTATTTCAGAAATTTTCCCTTTCCAATACCACTGAAACAATGAGACTCTTTAGTGCTTTTGAATCTCAAAGTCGTGATCAAGTCATGTCAGTTGTTGCTATTACATCTCTAGGTTCTTTTCTAAGCTCATGACTCCTGCCCTGGTGTCTATACTCACCACCTATAGAATCCAGGAGCCCTCTCACTAGTCTCTGCCACTACCAGTTCTCTGAAATTCATCCTTTATGTCATTGTCAGACTTTAAAACTGCATGTGGTATCAGGAAGGACAGGCTCTTTTTTTTTTTTGGTATGGGGGATTGAACTCATGATCTCACGCTTGCCAGGCAGGCACTTATGCCACTGAGCTAAATTGCCAGTAGACAGGCTCTTTTGGGGGTAGTCACAGTCTCCCAAATCCAGCAGCTTGTGATCACTGTGTATTCATGGAAGGAGGTGGAAGGCTATGAGATAGAGGAACTCTGCTTATAGCCAGTCAGGAATCCTGGAAGGATCATGATCAACATGACTCAACATCTCTGATACATCTGGAGAGGAAGAGAATGTGCCAAATTAAAACTGCTCTGAAAGCTACCAGTGGATGTGATGTAACTACTTCCACTTATATTTCATGGGCCCAAAGAGTCATGTGACCATGCCTCATTATGCAAGAGGTCAGAGAAATGGACCTGTCGTATGCGTGGAAAGAGCTGGAAATACATGGGGAACCATAATGATACCCATCACCTTCAGGTCGTGTGCAGAGGTCCCAGGTATACTCTTTTGTTTTATCTCCTCAGTCATCCCAAGCTCCTGCTATTTTTTCAGGTTCACCACGCACCCCTTTCCTGCATGTCTTTGCTGTCTCTACAACTTTTGGGGACCCACGGATGTTGCTCCTTTGCTTTAAGATCATGGTCCATGGAAACCTTTATGTAGACCTTTATTGTGTAGCATAGACACAATGTAAGGTAACTTACTTTTTGGTGGTGCTAGATTCCAAACACAGGGCGTCACATATGCTAACCAGGAGATCTCCCTCTGAGCTCTATCCCAGGCCAATGAATATTTCTCATAATCATAAATGCTTATTGTGGTAGTAAGTGTCTAGAAGTGATGTCTGAAGTAAACTTTTATTAATACCACACTAGTTTATAGAGGGTCACTTCAACTTTAAAACATCATTATATTTTAAATTTACAAATATTTTCTTATAACGTATTTTAGGTTCTATGCATTTTCATTCCCATACACTGACTTTTTTGTTGTAAAAACTTAATGTAAACTTTTTTCTGCCTTCCATGTCTGAAATTAAAAAGGATGCATAATTCTTTATGCTTTTGTGAAATTTTTACCTGCTGATTGTTTTGGCTGTGATATCCATGCCACACCCTCAGCCAGCACCCAGGACATCCTCTTGGCTTTGCTCACAGGCTTACTGATACATGAAGCACATGATGTCTTAAGCATGTGTCTTTAGCATCCATGGTCAGGTATGGAATGAACCTCTGGAGCTTGAGTGTGTCGGATGCCCTTCGATTTTTTATTAGTATCCAGAGTTGCCAAACTTTTTGAAGGGGAGTCTAGTTTCTGGTCTGGGGACTGACTTAGGAGTTTCTGAATCTCTAGGAATCAGTTCGTTCCAGAAGCAAGGGAGTTTGTGAGGCCAGACAGAAGGCAGGCATGCAGCTGTGAGAAACTCTTTTTAGGAAAAACCGAGGCTCCCATGAATACTGCCTCCCTCAGAACAAACTGTACCCCATCTCTGTATTTCTGCTTGTTTATTTGGACCCTTTTAATGAAATCTTTCTTTCTTTAAGCATGTAAATTTGACTTCCTTATATCTTGTGTAGACATGGTACCTTTAAGACCCCCAGCTGTCCCACAGAAGGTTTTAGACTTCAAATTCCAAATACAAAGGCATCCATCTGAGAGCTTTAGTGTTCCAGGATTCCCAGGGAACAGAATGTCTTTGTATCTGTGCACCATTTTAATTTGTAATCGGTTCTCTGTGCTCTTGCTGTACCGAGGCTAAGGTTGTTCTTTCCACAGATGAATTCCCTGATATTTACTGATGAAGTTTTTTGAATTATGAAGCTTTGTAGTGAAGTGGTTAGGAAGAGTTTGCTGTCTGAGCCTTGGAAATGTCATGTCCTAACTGTGTGAGTCATTTATATCAGGTGGACGGTGACATTGCTTACTGCACAGGGCTACTGCGAAGCCCATAGCATGCAGCTCACTGAATAGGGGACCTTCTGTACATACTGAGTCTTCCTGGTTCTGGCGGTGGCAGTGATAATGATGGTGATGAT